ATACGCTTCTCAGATATCGAATTTTTTGCACCTGTTTTCGTATCTTCAATAATAATGGTTTAGCGATACACGTCTTACTAAACCCACAACTGGGGGAGATCTGGATTCATACTGTTCTCAAGGATTTGAAAATCAGCTCACCGAATAAAACCCTGAACTATTATCCTTTACACCACCCGCACATCCAAGCTTACAACACATGATATTCCCAAATCAGTCACCCATCTAGTTACTGGTCAGGTTCGATATTGCTTTTCTTCGGTGATCGCACGGGAATCGGTGTATCAGCGTTATGTGCCCGTAAGTCAATATGTTTTTGAACGGAACTGAATGGAATTAAGTTAATATAGCATAGAGGAAATTAATATCTGTCTATATTTCTGTGATGAGTTATTATGTACATTATTTACATTATTCGGACTATTGTCCTCATCTTTGTCGCCATATTTATCACAACGTTTCTGCCGTTGTACGCTCCGGCTTTCTTCAGGTGGTTCGAATGTCGACCTGAACCCCTTATTTCGCTCACTGGGCTAGACTGCTCTAGTTCCACGTGCCGTGTCAAATTGATGTCAGTTATCTTTTCTTAATTCCCCTCTCAAATTCTCCACCGCCTTAACCAGATATTGAACTCACACTCGTTGAGTCCTGTCCCTGGATCTAAATAACGCCTTTATCCACTGTGCCATGTGTCCTTGAGGCGTTAGTTAGATCCAGTGACTGGACCCAAAGAGTGTGAGTTCAATATCGGGTTAAGGCGGTGGAGAATTTGAGAGGGGAATTAACAGAAGATAACTAACACCCATTTGACACGGCACGTGAAACAAGAAGAGTCTAACTCAGAGAGCAAAATAAAGGGTTCTGTTCGACATTCCAACCACCTGAAGAAGGCCGGAGCGTACAACGGCCGAAACGTTGTGATAAACATGGCGACCAAGATGAGGACAATAGACCGAATAATGTAAATAGGAAATTGATGACATTTCAGGGAACAGTCGATTACTGCTCTGTAGACATTCCGTTTTCTTTATTATCTTAGGTTTACAATGACTTCTGGGGAAAGTTAATGGAACGGTTGCCCACTAGGACAGGTTGATTTAAAACTTTCTTAAGAAAAGCAACATTGTACTCAATGTAAAAGATAGAAGTTGATGTGATAAATATAGACAGTAAGAGATATATTAATATCTTTCAGTAATTTTTGAGCATTTAGTTTTGGAGATCCTCTGAATAATGTAATACCAAATTCCCTCAGGTTTTTTGTTTAAAGAATAACATAAAGGTTTTGCTATTTCAAGAACAGATCCAAATAAATTTAGTATCTTTTGTAATAGCGACATTCAACGAAAAATGTATTTGAACCAGAAGTCTAATTAAGAATCAACACAAGCAAAATATGTTATTTTATTTTACTGTAATCGATAAGTAATAATAAGTGTAAAAAACTGTTAAAAAACTGTAAAAAACTGTGTAAAAAACTGTAAAAAAACTGTAAAAAACTGTAAAAAAATGTGTAAGAAACTATAAAAGATTACAAAAAATGCCACTCAAAGAATAAAATTTGTTAGATTATTTGTTAATGCATAATTAATAAGAACAAAAAAAAATAAAAGCGTACATAACCACATAATACTTCTGGGGACAAATTATGAGACAAAATGTTAAAATTTGCATTGTTTATTGAAAATTGCACTAAAACCATCATATCATAATATAGCTAAATTGTCTAGTATAAGATCCCTTTTGAAGAAAATGCAAGTTCTATTTGATAGCACAGTGATATAGTAATATTGTGCTTGTTCCACGCATCTTGTCCATACATAAGACAAACCTTTTCAGCGACGAGTAGTATGGGTTTCGGTCAATCCGATCCACTGCTGATTACGGCAGGCTTATTTTTCACTGCTTTTATAAAAACAAAGTCATGATTTAACTCAGTGTAAAGCTAATTTCCACAGGTTTTTGCTTACAGACTAACTGCAACATTTTACTATTTCAAGAATAAATCCAAATAAACTTGATATTATCTGTATTAGATACATTGAATTTGAAAATATATTGAATCCAGAATTCTAATCATCAATTCTACAAGCAAAATAGTCAATTTTTTTTATTGTACTCGATAAGCAAAAACTAAAAAATTGTAAAAGATGACAAAAAAGGCTACTTATTCAATGAAAAAAGATTTGTTATGTCACGTGTTAGATCATAATTAATAAAAACAAAAAATAGATTAAAAGTGCATATAACAACATAATCTTGCTGGGCTACCGTTATAAAACAAAATGTTTTAAATTTACATTGATTATTGAAAATCACAATAAAAATACTGCACTGTATAAGAGTACATCATAGCTGAACTTTCCCATTGAATTAAATTATTTGAGGGCACAATGATTTAGTAATAATGTGCTTTTGCCATTCCTCTTTTCCATATACAATTTTTAAAGCTTTCGTCAATTGTAAATTTTATAAGGCTGTGCTATAAGGCTTTCGCTGATCACTGGAATGAAATTTCAATGCTACGATTTTGAGCCTAAATTTAATCTTTTAAACTCGTCCCCTTAAAAAAACACTAACTATATGGAAAAAAAATGTGTCCTTATTTATCATATCAACCCTAACTTTCAAAATGACGGTAACATCACGCTTCCAAAATCGACCTGCCGTACTGTCCCACTTGCCTTCAACGTGTCCCGTGAGTGTCAAATTTTCCAAGCCCTCGTTCCTCATTATGTGACCGAGAAATGTCGACTGTCTCTTGCTCATGATACGGATAAGTGTTCTTTTGATTTTCATTTTAATCTAAAACTTCGTAGCTGCTCACATGTTCTATTCATGATATTCTCAGCATCCTTCTGTAGAACAACATTCATGTTGCCTAAAATTTCTTCTCCATTTGTAAAGAGATGGTCCAGAATTCACTGCCATATAGGAGGACCGACATGACGTAACTTTTCAGTATTGAAAACGTAATATTTAAATTCTACGCCTCAAAAAACGGTAACGATTTTGAAAAAAAAATATTTTGTGTAGTTTTTCTCATGAGAAATCTCAACTTTCAAATTGCATACAATACAACGGTTCCAAAATCGACTTATTGCCGAGTTTGAATTCAGGGTATTACTTCTTGACCTGGTTCCTACCTAAGGTTAAATATGTTCATTTGCTCTTGTATTCGACTCTTACAGAGGGATAGGCGTGAACCCTAGTTTGTAAATGAATGGAAAATACTCGGACGGAATTTGAAACCGGCTCGCCGTTTTTAAGATCCTTGCCGATAAACACTAGCCGCACGTTACAAAGAAATATATTTTCCTTTACTCACTAGGTGTTATTCTGTGTTTAAAAGAAAGTAAAAGCCGATCTAGGAATAATAAACGTATATTTTCAATGGTGTTGGTTTTTGTTTTGACATGGCTAAAAGATATAGATATGTATCTTGATTCTGTGTTTATTTCTGATAAAGGATGTTTTTTATTCGCAAGAAAATATTTTACTAATAGATTAGCACAGCGACAGCTACTGATATTATTATCGAACATATTTTACAATGATGTAACGTCTTGCAAAGTCACAACGAACTGTGTTACATTGATTGTTATTAATCTATTCTATTGCTGCATCGGCAGTTCCTCAGTAGGGAGACCAACGCTGCATAAATATAGAGAATAAACAATAGCAAATTTATTGTCAGTTGTTTTTTTACACTCTTTTTTTTTTTTTTTTGCTAGGGAGTAGAAGACGTTATTTTTTCGAAAAAGTGTAAGAGAAAAGGAAAGACGCAAAATGGTGTCAACAAGTTGGCTAGCTAATATCATCTGCGACGTGTCTCTGTGCTGAAGCCACCAGTACAAATGTAATCCGTAAATGAATCTGCTATGGAGACCATAAAATCCGTTTTCACGCTTTTTATCTTCGTAAATATAAATTTAGACAGTCGATCCATCACTGACAGGAATCAATGCCTACAAGTTCCAAACTACGCTCCCGTTCATCTCGATTCATTTTCGAATCAAAGTTCAGATCAGTAAGCTCTGGATTTATGCTCACTTTTTCTTTATTGGCCGTGTCTCCTCAGAACGTAGGCGATCATGGCTCTTCACAACTTCCTGTTTTCTGTAGCACTTAATAACTTTTGTATCTTGCCATCTATCCCAAACCCTATTCCGCCATCCATCCAATCAAGCTAACCTGGGAGGTTATGCGTGATTTCCTTCTTTCTCTCTTCCCTTTAATCAGTACTGTGAGTATCAGATTTTCCAAGCCCTCTTTCTTCATTATGTGTCCTAGAAATTACAACTGTCTCTCCCAGATATTAAGTATCTTTCTTTTTGATTCCGTTTTCTCTAAAACTTCGTCTTCGCTCAGATGTTCGACCTAGGGTATCCTCAGAATCCTTCTGTAGTAACTACACCTTAACGTAACCCAGTACCACAAGTGCCCCCTGGTTATGTACAGGGTGAGCCTTACATTAAAAAAAAAGATTGAATACTTAAACCATTTTCTTTGTCCAGCCTACGCGTTCTGTCACGCGTGGGACATCCCTGCTGTCACGAAGTAACAAGTTGGGGTTTGAGAGTGTACTGTTCTTGTCCAACCATTGATCACGCCTATTTGTGTGCTCTCGCCCACAAACGGTAATCACAGTCCTCTCAAGCTTTGCTACAGTATAAATCACAGTTTGTCCCCTTGAGCGTTAAAGAAATAGTAATGTTCCTTTGGAGGCGTGTAGGGATTATTTAGACATCCTAGTACGTGACAGCATTATCTCCGGAGTCGGACTGATGCCCACTATTATCTCACAAAAATCCTACATTTGCCTCTAAGAGACAAATGTGAAAGGATTGAGGCAGACACATAGATATGAAAAAAAAGGCTGTTATATATATATATATATATATATATATATATATATATATATATATATATATAGATAGATAGATAGATAGATAGATAGATAGACAGAAACTGAGATAGATAGATAGATAGATTAAAACTTAGATAGATAGAAACTCAGATAGATTGAAACTCAGATAGATAGATAGATAGATAGATAGATAGATAGATAGATAGATAGACCGACAGAAACTGAGATATATAGAAACTGAGATAGATAGATTAAAACTTAGATAGATAGAAACTGAGATAGATTGGAACTCAGATAGATAGATAGACAGACAGTTAGATAGATAGATATATAGATAGATAGATAGACAGATAGACAGACGGACAGAAACTGAGATAGATAGATATGAGATAGTTAAAAACTTAGATAGAAACTGAGATAGATATAAACTAAGATAGACAGATTGAAACTTAGATAGATAGATAGATAGATACATAGATAGATAGACAGATAGATAGATAGATAGATAGATATAAACTGAGATAGACTGAAACTTAGATAGCTAGTTAGATAGATAGAAACTAAGATAGATAGATAGATAGATAGATAGATAGATTGAAACTTAGATAGCTAGTTAGATAGATAGATAGATAGAAACTAAGATAGATAGATAGATAGATAGATAGATAGATAGATAGATAGATTTACTGGATATTACTTGACACCATTATGCTCCTAAATCTGACAGATTTTCGCCTTCTCTTTTAATCATTTCATCTAAAGCAAAACAATACAGCCAGTGAGACGCAAGAGGTTACCTGTTAGAGAGTATGCGTAAAAAATACTAATAAGAACAACATTCACCATAATACCTCAATGTCCCTAGGAATGTCATAACTAATCCCCATATGTACAATTCATTAACTGTTGGGAGAGGGGAATAAAATAACAAGAAATCTGCATCTCCTCACTCAGTCAAATAGAGAACATCCGAACAATTATCATCAAAGTATTTATAAAAAATTATGACACAGAGTGGCAACATTACGGTGGTGGGCAAATGGCTGACGACAAAACGACAGATCAGGTCCAACAATATTGCTGATTCTTCTTTGGGAAACAAGGGATAAAGCTCTGCTCCTTCTCAAATCATGGCAGGGTGTATTAGCCGGGCGATATTTAATTTCTAATTTATACTTAATTTATGTTCATATTTTTTTATCATTTTTTTTTGTCTGAGTGGGAAGCATTGGCTGGTTCTGGTGAGAACTTTCAGCATTCTCTCGTGAAGAGACTGACCTCATCTAGGCATAAGAGTGGGTAAGAGATGGAGGCAAATAATAAACTAAAGAGGGTGATCGATATTTAACACTAAGCCATTTTTCCCCCAACCTTCTGTGTTTATTCTCTAGCGAAAAGTATCAACATTTCTTTTTTTTTCTCAAGTGAACCGTCATAAAAAGCCTGTCGGCGATCTAAGAAGGTAAGAGCTTTTATAATATTAACGCCACTCGCCAAGCCGCCGATCTGGACTGAGCCAATTTCGTTAAAGCAAAGGCCAGTTCTGGCAGTCAACGTGCCAAACGAACTAACAGATTCCTCGAACGAGTCTTCTATAGATTTTCTGTCGGACCGCACCAACGAAATATGACTTATAAAATTATAGCCAAATGGACCTACCATAATATTTGCCAGGAGCGATATACGAACTTTCGTCATGTAAAAAAGTTTTCGTTAATATGAGGGGGGTTATGTCGACATTTTTACTACTTAACATTTTTCTGTGGGGGGTAATTTCTGTCTATAGTGGGTATTCTTGAATCTTTTTTATTTATTATTATCATATGTCTTTTCTTTCCTTTCTAAAGATATTAAGAATCATTTCACTTCCCCCTGTGTTTCATTCTTTCGTTTCTTTATTATTTTCTATTTTTTTTTTGTTGGTATATTTGTTAAATATTTTTTTATTTTTATTTTCTTTCTTTCATGCATCTGCATTTCTTTATCTTCCTAATAATTTCTTTCTTTCTGTCTTTCATGCATTTGTACTTATTTTTCTTTCTAAAAACTTTCTTTCTTTCATGTATTTTTAGGTCATTCCCTTTCTAAATAATTTCTTTCTTTCTTTCATGTATTTGTAGGTCTTCCCCTTTCTAAATAATTTCTTCCTTTCTTTCTTTTATGCATTTTTACTTCTTTTTGTTTTTAATTAATTTTTTATTTATTTATTTATTTCATGCATTTGCAATTTTTTCTTTCTAAATAGATTCTTTCTTTTTTTATTTATTTTATGCAAATTTTCTTTGTAAATAGTTTCTTTCTTTCTTTCTTTCTTTATTTTATGTAAAAATAGTTTCTTTCTTTCTTTCTTTCTTTATTTTATGTATTTGTACATCTTTTTCTTTTAGTTTCTTTTTCTTCAATGTATTTGTAGTTTTTTCTTTCTTTTTCTTTCTTTCTTTATTTTTATGTATTTGTACTTCTTTTTCTTTTTAAATAATTTCTTTCTTTCTTTATTTTATGTATTTGTACTTCTTTTCTTTCTAAATAGTTTTTTTCTTTCTTTCTTTCTTTATTTTATGTATTTGTACTACTTTTTTCTTTCTTAAATAATTTTTCTTTCTTTCTTTCTTTCTTTATTTTATGTATTTGTACTTCTTTTTTCTTTCTAAATAGTTTTTTCTTTCTTTCTTTTTTATTTTATGTATTTGTTCTTTCTTTTTTCTTTCTTTAGTTTTTTCTTTTCTTTTTCTTTCTTTTATTTTTTGTATTTGTACTTCTTTTCTTTCTTTCTCTTTCTTTATTATTTTGTATTTGTACTTCTTTTCTTTCTTTATTTCTTTTTTCTTTATTTTTTTATGTATTTGTACTTCTTTTTTCTTTCTAAATAGTTTCTTTCTTTCTTTATTTTATGTATTTGTACTTCTTTTTCTTTCTAAATAGTTTTTTCTTTCTTTATTTTATTTTATGTATTTTCTACTTCTTTTTCTTTCTTTATAGTTTCTTTCTTTTTTTTATTTTATGTATTTGTACTTCTTTTTCTTTCTAAATAGTTTCTTTCTTTCTTTATTTTATGTATTTGTACTTCTTTTCTTTCTAAATAGTTTCTTTCTTTTTTTTTTTATGTATTTGTACTTCTTTTTCCTTCTAAATAGTTTCTTTCTTTCTTTATTTTACGTATTTGTACTTCTTTTTCTTTCTAAATAGTTTCTTTCTTTCTTTATTTTATGTATTTGTACTTCTTTTCTTTCTAAATAGTTTCTTTATTTCTTTCTTTATTTTATGTATTTGTACTGTTTTTCTTTCTAAATAGTTACTTTCTTTCTTTATTTTATGTATTTGTACTTCTTTTTCTTTCTAAATAGTCTTTCTTTAATTTATGTATTTGTACTTCTTTTTCTTTCTAAATAATTTCTTTCTTTCTTTCTTTTATGTATTTGTACTTCTTTTTCTTTCTAAATAGTTTCTTTCTTTCTTTATTTTAATTTATTTGTATTTGTACTTCTTTTTCTTTCTAAATAGTTTCTTTCTTTATTTATTTTATGTATTTGTACTTCTTTTTCTTTCTAAATAGTTTCTTTCTTTATTTTATGTATTTGTACTTCTTTTTCTTTCTAAATAGTTTCTTTCTTTCTTTATTTTATGTATTTGTACTTCTTTTTCTTTCTAAATAGTTTCTTTCTTTATTTATTTTATGTATTTGTACTTCTTTTTCTTTCTAAATAGTTTCTTTCTTTCTTTATTTTATGTATTTGTACTTCTTTTCTTTCTTTCTTTATTTTATGTTTTGTACTTCTTTTCTTTCTAAATAGTTTCTTTCTTTTTTATTTATGTACTTCTTTTTCTTTCTAAATAGTTTCTTTCTTTCTTTATTTTATGTATTTGTACTTCTTTTTCTTTTCTAAATAGTTTCTTTCTTTTTATTTTATATATTTGTACTTCTTTTTCTTTCTAAATAGTTTCTTTCTTTCTTTCTTTTTTTTTATGTATTTGTACTTCTTTTTTTCTTTCTAAATAGTTTCTTTCTTTCTTTATTTTATGTATTTGTGTTCTTTTCTTTTAAATAGTTTCTTTCTTTCTTTAATTTTTTTTCTTTCTTTTCTTTTTTTATGTATTTGTACTTCTTTTTTCTTTCTAAATAGTTTCTTTCTTTCTTTTATTTTATGTATTTGTACTTCTTTTCTTTCTAAATAGTTTCTTTCTTTTCTTTATTTTATGTATTTGTACTTCTTTTTCTTTCTAAATAGTTTCTTTCTTTCTTTATTTTTTTCTAAATTTTTTCTTTCATTTCTTTCTTTTTTATTTTATGTATTTGTACTTTTTTTCTTTCTAAATAGTTTCTTTCTTTCTTTATTTTATGTATTTGTACTTCTTTTTTCTTTCTAAATAGTTTCTTTCTTTCTTTATTTTTATGTATTTGTACTTCTTTTCTTTCTAAATAGTTTCTTTCTTTCTTTATTTTATTTTATTTGTACTTCTTTTTCTTTCTAATAGTTTCTTTCTTTCTTTCTTTATTTTATGTATTTGTACTTCTTTTTCTTTCTAAATAGTTTCTTTCTTTCTTTTTTTATTTTTGTACTTCTTTTCTTTCTAAATAGTTTCTTTCTTTAATTTTATGTATTTGTACTTCTTTTTCTTTCTAAATAGTTTCTTTCTTTCTTTCTTTTATGTATTTTGTACTTCTTTTCTTTCTAAATAGTTTCTTTCTTTCTTTATTTTATGTATTTGTACTTTCCTTTTTCTTTCTTTCTTTAATATGTATTTGTTTTCTTTTTCTTTCTTTAGTTTCTTTCTTTATTTTTATGTATTTGTACTTCTTTTCTTTCTAAATTTCTTTCTTTCTTTATTTATTTTATGTATTTGTACTTCTTTTTCTTTCTAAATAGTTTCTTTCTTTCTTTATTTTATGTATTTGTACTTCTTTTTCTTTCTAAATAGTTTCTTTCTTTCTTTTATTTTATGTATTTGTGTTTCTTTTTCTTTCTAAATAGTTTCTTTCTTTCTTTCTTTATTTATGTATTTGTACTTCTTTTTCTTTCTAAATAGTTTCTTTTTCTTTTCTTTATTTTGTGTATTTTGTACTTCTTTTTTTCTTTTCTTTCTTTTTTCTTTCTAAATAGTTTCTTTTCTTTCTTTTTCTTTCTTTCTTTTCTTTTTTATGTATTTGTACTTCTTTTTTCTTTCTAAATAGTTTCTTTCTTTATTTATTTTAGTTTCTTTCTTTCTTTATATTTGTACTTCTTTTTTTCTAAATAGTTTCTTTCTTTCTTTATTTTAAATTGTACTTCTTTTTCTTTCTTTCTTTATTTTTATGTATTTGTACTTCTTTTTCTTTCTAAATAGTTTCTTTCTTTATTTATTTTTATGTATTTGTACTTCTTTTTCTTTTCTAAATAGTTTTCTTTCTTTATTTATTTTATGTATTTGTACTTCTTTTCTTTCCTAAATAGTTTTCTTTCTTTCTTTATTTTTTATGTATTTGTACTTCTTTTTCTTTCTAAATAGTTTCTTTCTTTCTTTATTTTTTTATGTATTTGTACTTCTTTTCTTTCTAAATAGTTTCTTTCTTTTTTATTTTATGTATTTGCTTCTTTTCTTTCTAAATAGTTTCTTTCTTTCTTTATTTTATGTATTTGTACTTCTTTTCTTTCTAAATAGTTTCTTTCTTTCTTTATTTTATGTATTTGTACTTCTTTTTCTTTCTAAATAGTTTCTTTCTTTCTTTATTTTATGTATTTGTACTTCTTTTTCTTTCTAAATAGTTTTCTTTCTTTTATTTTATGTATTTGTACTTTTTTCTTTCTAAATAGTTTCTTCTTTTTTTTTTTAAATTTGTTTCTTTTTCTTTCTTTTTCTTTTTTATTTTTTTATGTATTTGTACTTCTTTTTTCTTTCTAAATAGTTTCTTTCTTTCTTTATTTTTTTTTTTGTATTTGTACTTTTTTCTTTCTAAATAGTTTCTTTTTTTCTTTCTTTATTTTATGTATTTGTACTTCTTTTTTTTCTAAATTGTTTTTTTCTTTCTTTCTTTATTTTATGTATTTGTACTTCTTTTTCTTTCTAAATAGTTTCTTTCTTTCTTTCTTTATTTATTTTATGTATTTGTACTTCTTTTTCTTTCTAAATAGTTTCTTTCTTTATTTATTTTATGTATTTGTACTTCTTTTTCTTTCTAAATAGTTTCTTTCTTTCTTTCTTTATTTTATGTATTTGTACTTCTTTTTCTTTCTAAATAGTTTCTTTCTTTCTTTCTTTATTTTATGTATTTGTACTTCTTTTTCTTTCTAAATAGTTTCTTTCTTTATTTTATGTATTTGTACTTCTTTTCTTTCTAAATAGTTTCTTTCTTTCTTTATTTTATGTATTTGTACTTCTTTTTCTTTCTAAATAGTTTCTTTCTTTATTTATTTTATGTATTTGTACTTCTTTTTCTTTCTAAATAGTTTCTTTCTTTCTTTATTTATTTTACGTATTTGTACTTCTTTTTCTTTCTAAATAGTTTTTTATTTCTTTCTTTATTTTATATATTTGTTTTTTTCTTTCTAAATAGTTTCTTTCTTTCTTTATTTTATGTATTTGTACTTCTTTTTTCTTTCTAAATAGTTTCTTTCTTTCTTTCTTTATTTTATGTATTTGTACTTCTTTTTCTTTCTAAATAGTTTCTTTCTTTCTTTATTTTATGT